ATAACAGTTCTTATTGTGCAGGACTACTTTCTATAAGCCAGTAAAGAGTTCATTTCCTACTGTGTAAGTGTAACTCAGTATATTTGTCTCATATAGCTTAACTAAAAATGTAATTAAAGAATACTAAGTAAGCCCACTTCTTCAACAGTTCTTTCATTTGGCTGATGCACTCAGTGTAAAAGCTATTATCTATAAATAATGATTAGAGAAAGATAAAACTCTTGATTTTTTCCCACTGTTATGTATGGGTTTTAATTGTGTTTTGAAGCTGAAGATACCTAAAAAGGTATCTTAAATCCAGTAAATCAGAATGATCTGTGTTAACAGTAACTCAAAGCCTCACAAAATTCTATTACACCGTAGTTGAAACTCCTCTCTGCATGGCTTATTCACATGGTATACAGAATGCAAAGCCACTTCTCCACCCCCTGAAATGGAACACATTTGCCTGAGAATTGCATGAATCTTTGCCAAATAATAAATATTTTCCAGGAAACAATGTTTCCAGAAATAACAACAAGTAGTTTCATAAGCAGACCAAGTGAAGCTTAGTTTCTGAAAGCTTTGCTTCTCACAGTGTTTAAGTATGAACTACAAATTAGGTTTTTCCCCCTCAGCTTAACAACTGTTTTAGCTACCAAATTCACCTGAATCTGGCCAATGGTTCAAGAAGTCACATCTGTAGCAGAGAGAAATCAGACACAGCAAATATACCTTAATTAATTGGAAAAAATAAGGCAAAAAGGGGAAAGATTTAATGCTCCCCTATTTCATTCTTCCTCTCCATCACTGTAAGACATTGAGCATTTGGGTTCTGGTTGATTGCAGCCAGAAGCCACACTATCTTTATATCAAAACATGGCATTCTTTCATAACCCAGCAGAAGCCCAGATAAGTTTTTTATTACGTTTGCCAGCCCCAAAGTGCTTTACCTTCATATGATTTTTTAGAGGATCCATAAGATTGAAATGAATATTGCACTTTGGACAAGCTCGTGGAAAAGGTCCTCCATTTTTAATGGTGCTTGACACAGCATTTGTACCTGTAAAATCGAAAATATTTTAAGATTGAGAATTCACAAGCAGAATACTTGATTTATTGTTATTTATTATTCTAGCAAAATATGCTATTTCAAATGAAAACTATTACAACTGATGTAGCTGTAGTGACCATAAGCAAGGTTTTACAACCATCTTTTAACTATCATTCCTTTTTTTCAAACTGAGTGTGAATTTGTTCTGTTTGATATAGACCTATGAACAAATTTTACAAAAGCTTAACAACAAATAAGGAAAAAATAGAAGAGGGTGAAGGTAGCATTAATTCTGTGCACCCACCCCCAGCTAGGACAGATTTTTGATGGTTTTAAGAACTTTAATTCTCAAATGAACATGTAAAACTTGTTTTATGTCATGACCTGATCATCATCACAATAGGGTTCAGGTAACCGGTTTTGGAAAGGAATTTCACCATCTGGTTCGCAATGATGAGAATATTTCTCTGTGGACAGTTGTTGGAACCTAGGCCTATTCAGATGCATCATTCCTGTTGAGCAAAGGTGTCTTTGGAGAATCTGGAGAATAAATCCTCTGAATAATTACTCCCAGTAATGAAAGGAAATAGTATTTATGTTATCAACGTAAAATAATTAATATCTTACGAGCAAAAACAAAAAAGCTTTGCATTAGCTTAAACTTTAATGAGTAAATCCAGGCTGCCATTTTTCTCCAAACTGCCAAAAAACATCAAGCAAGTGAGCTACTTTTCCAGATGAAGTTCTCTTGCATTCTCAAGTCATTCACAGATCTGGAGGACTCCATGCTAAGTAGGTAGTTTAGAAGAAGAGGTTAAACACAGGAAGAGTTTTAAGTAATCAGAGGAACATCTCAACTGTAGAGTCCCTGCCAGGGCTATGAAAAAAACTGTAATAAAAATAAACAGACACATACATCCAACCTTATAACAAGGGAATGAGTAAGTGTATGAATTGAGACAACCATGCAACAGTGTTGTACATTTTTTCACAAAATCGTCTTGCATAGTCCTTGAGGTAGACATAGATCAAACAGTATTTTTCCTTGAAGATAACAGTATTGCTAAGAATAATTTAATTAAGCAGAAAGTCCTTCACATGAGTGGATGGCCATGCAAGAGATGTACCACAAAACTGTTGCAAGTCTTCACTATAACAGTTTGTAAAACATTTTGACACATCACAGCTAAGCGCAAGCTAAGTTGCAAGAAAACAGGTTCTGCAGCAAGATCTAGCGTTCTGCAGTGCTTCAGTGCCAGATTCTGCGACAGATTAGAAATTGCTATGCTAGCATGGGACAGCTTAGAAGTACACTCATAACAGCAAGGTTCTCACTGAATATGATCTACTCCTTTGATGCTGCATTTAGTAAGATCCTCTGGTTATCTTTGTATATCATAGGCTGCAGCACAATATCTGTTTTACCCAACCCAGGGTGGAGGAAAATCTTTTGCTGCAATTTTCCATGTTATAGCTACTTCCTTCTAGTCACTGGGGAGAAGTCTGATAGCAAATCAGCTGCAAACAAGACATGCAAAAACCCCAAATAGCAAATTATTTCAAACAGAATCACACTGTAGGTAGGCTCCTCATTTTAACATCATAGGAGAGAGTATGTAGTTGGAAATATTTCAAAGTCAAGAATAAATCCTCATCTATTACAATCAGCTGGAAAGCACCTTTTGGCTCAGGAGGAAAACGCACCTGATTATTTATATGCTGAAACAGCTCGACTACCTCTCTTCTTGTAGAGGGAAAGGTCTTTCAAAGAACATCCTCTTTGAAACTGAAATCCCCCTCCTCCCTTCCCACTACTATTTTAAACTGTATCAAAAATGCTGCTGCAAAAGAAAGGGGAAAACTGCAAAACACACTTTGCAATAGTTAGTTGAAGTACAGAATCATGGAATAATTTAGGTTGGCCCTGTAGAGGTGTTTTTGTTCAACCTCCCACTTAAAGCAAGTCCAATCTTATCAGAATGCTCAGAGCTGTGTGCAGTCAACTTCCAAATATCTCCAAGGATGGAGATTCCACAATCCGAGTCCATGCTGCCTTGCCTGACATTCCCACAATGATTTTTTTTCTTCCTTTTATCCAATCAGAATTAGTTGATAAATTCAGTAGTCACACAAGTCTTTCAGCCTTGATTTTCTGGCTGGATGTTTTTTAAAGTTTCAACTCTCTATTCAGTTCTTTGACATAGAAGTTCTGAACTAAGACTATGAGGTCAGAGGCATTTATTTTGATCATCTGTTTTCACAGCCACTAAACGACATAATGAAGTCAAACATACCTACTAAACAATAAAGTGTAAAATTTGAATAGGTAATTAATTTGTCAAGGTAAGTAAAACCTTTCTATGCAAGGACTTATTTTAAGGCATAAGAACAGTTATTTACATTGCCTTAATAGCATTAATAACACTGATCAACTTAAACATTACAAGAGTGCTAGCTTTTTCCATGAAACAGATGCATGGATTGACAGCTAGACCATGTGATCTACCCTACCTTTTGAAGATACATTTTGTGATGGTGTTACTGTTGGAGAGTTAACTGTAGGTGAAACAGCTGAATTGCTTCCAGCACCAACCTCATTATGCTTGGCCTTTTTTGGAGTTACACTGTTGCCTTCAGAAGTAGCAGGACGCTTAGATACAAAACCACTCTCATTCAGACCTACAGTGGTTTAAATTAAAGAACCTCAGTTTTTTTCCATAGCATATTGTGAACACATTACTGATACCTATACTTTAAAGGATGGACAAGTCTACATAAAGCAGTTAGGATTTCCCTAAAATAATAAGCTATACAGAAGTTAAGAAAACAATATCCAACTCAAACTGAATATTTTAAGGCCAGTGGAGAAGGAAAGGGTAAATGCAAAGACATACAGCCCCAGTAAATCATATTATGACCACCTGAATTTATTTGGCCTACTTTTCATATCTTGACCCACACTAATCTGAGACAAAGTGAGTTCACAGTAATAAAGTTAAGCTAAGCAGCTGGTTTCTGCAATGTCCACTATTTGGAACAGCCTCTGCCCTCCCCATGAAAAATCTCTCACCTTTTTTCTGGTTCTATGCTAATGCTGGTTTAGTTTGATATTCAGCTTTGTAAAACATTTGAGACTTCATTTTGTATGCAAAATTAATCACAGCACATTATTTGCTCTCTTATGAAAGAACAGTTGATTCACTTACTGTCTGCAGTTTTTCTTCTAAAAAAAGAACTAAAAAATAACTTGGAAATTCAGAGGTTTGGTGCCTGATTAACATGCTCATCAATATTTGGCTCCATCTTGTCCTGAAACCCATGCCTCTGTCACTGTAAGATTACCCTTAATAATGTAATCTCAATACAGAGATCAGTCCTCAAGCAGACCTGAAAAAGCACAGCTCTGAGAAGTCTTTCAAGTACCAGCACAGGCCTTGTAAATCTCTCAAAATCACAAACTGCAACTAGCCTTAAGGTTATGATGAAGTATCATAAGGACCAGGCTGTAGTTCCAGACACAATGATCTGAACTAAGGACATACTTCCATCTTCCCCTTCTAATGGTCTGGCTACTCCAATGATTTCTTTGGGTGTAATAAGAAACTGAATTAGTATCTTTAAAAGTCTTTTTGACAAGCAGAGATAACTTGTGTCACAAAATTATTCAAACTTCTGGGAAGAAACAAAGCAACACCCTCCCATCCCCAAGTTGTGTTTACTCAGTGGTAGCTATCTACACCTAGCAAACAGTCTCCCCATTCAATCCACAGATGCAAAGAATCCCAGCAGGGAATGCTGATATTTGAGCATTTCGGAGAATTTACCATGCTATGCCTCATACATAGGAAAACATAATTCACTTGTTATGTATGTATTTAATCATCCCAATGTTTTCCTTCACAGCACACTTTTCCTTCTTTCTGAAATAAACGAATATATTAAACTCAAATGTCTCACTCTATGTATTGTTTGCATAAGGTAATTAACACATTCACAAAAAACCCCAGGTTATTCATTAGATACTACTACTTCCTATGGTTTCTAAATTTACTTATACTTGCACTGTTAGGTATATGAGCTGGTTACATTCACATATGTGTCTTGATCAGCAAAGGCTTCCATAGAGCTGGTATAGCTTTAGCATTCTTCTGTATCACTAAGACTATTCAAGCATCAGGGCATCACCCTACAGCAGGAACTGCTGCTATATATTTAATTATGTGTAGTTGTGCAATGAGGGCCAGGGAAAATACAGAAGATCTGACTGATGTACAAGAATCTTCACTGTTCTATTTTACTGTAGAAAACCTGATTTAGACGTTAACAAAATTGCTAATAAATTGAAAAAAAACTGGACACATCTATGACAAAAAATTTGAAGACTATTTTATATATTTAAAGATGAGCATTCTTAACTTGGTTTATATGACTCTGATCTAACAAATTCCCTCTTTCTGAAAAGTTATAATAATTCTAGAAGAATATACATAGGTTAGCATTTGAATTCTGTAGTTTGTTAATTTTTAAAAAATGTAAAGCCTATTTTGAAAAATAAATGAATTCCAAGTATTATTTAATATCTAGCTGGTATAAATCAGATTGATTCCTTGTTTCATCAAAGTACCTCTCAACTGGTGTGCGGACACAAGAATTCCTTGGATCACCCGTGTTCCAGACTAGTTTGTTCAATCTTCTACCCAGCAGACCATACAGCTGAAACTCTCAGAGACTCCAGGTACTCAAGATAGCAAAGCAGCAGCCAAACAATTCTTAGTTTAGTTTTCAGGCCACTCAGGAGTCTACTACCTTCAATTCACACTACTAGTGAATATTTCATAAATATTTTGTAGCTATTACAAAACAGTCGCCTACAGTCATACATGCAGTATTGTTACGTACAGTATCTAAAACGATTGCAAGAAAGAGCAAAGTATACTGGATGCAGTATCACCTTGCCGACACTCTCTAAATACACATTACAACACTATAAAATCCTTAACACAGCTATACGCATCTGTGCTGGCTGGGCCCGATTTTATGAATGATAGCAAAAGACAGTAGAAATGGTAACCTAGAATAAAAGCATCAAATGTACTGTGGTAACAGTCAGATCAAATTAACAGAACAGGGACACAAAAGCCAAACTGCTTCAGGCTTCTAGTGCCTCGTCACTCGCCAACATCTCCCATTAATCTAGTGCTATGAACACATACAGTCCAGTCAACTCCTAAATACCACAGAACAGTTCTTCTATTGGTTATGGCATTTTCTGGTGAGTAAAGTTTGTGGGACGATGATCCCAAAACAGTCTCAGAAAGCAAGCTACAGGTTTACATACATCTCCAGTGCCCATCCTACCTGCACACAAGAGTTATCAATGCTGTTTAACTTAACACTACCACCTATTTAGCAACCTAACAAAACAGTTGGTTAGTGTCCATTAGCACCCTGTCAGTTCCCTGCTTAAGACCTCAGAAATAAATATTTATGCTATATTGAGCTAAAAAAAGTGTCTGTAATGATCCATGTACAGAAGTTAAGTTGTCCTGCAGAGTATCACAGACCAGTTCCCAAAAGAATTCTGCTTTTAAATACCATATTCCAGAATGTCTTGTGCCCACAGTGCTGCACATGAATGAGAAGCATAGCACCAACACAGGCAAGTAGGCATCGGCACACATGAACAACATGAATATAAGCGTATTACGTGAACTCACCATGCAAGCCAAACCACAAAATATGCAGACACTTCCTTGTTGTGAAGTGAAACGTACTATAAAGATATACATGTTTCAACCCACAATTATGAAACTTTTAATTTCTAAATCCTATTGCCATCTTACAAAAATAAATACAAACTCAGTATGGTATATTTAAGACACTTTGAATTACAATCTTTGATGTTTTTAAGTATTTCATTTTTCTTGATAAGAGACTAATACAAGTAATTTTAAATATGCAAGCAGGTCTCCTAAATAAAAAAAACAAAACCCACAAAGAATTAAATTTTAATACCCGTTCTTTGGAGAACAAGGGCTAGAATACTGAACCATTTGCACAAAATAAAACTTTTTCCTTACTTTACAAAAAGCTATTTAACCCAGTAAGACAAGAATGAGATCACAGAATAGTTCAACACATACAAGGAAATACACTATCAACCTGTCATTGATAAGTATCTTGAGTGAATGGCTAAACTAGAGATGCAAAATCATCACATTAAGCAGAATAAACTAGCAATCGTTCTGTTCTACATAACTTGTTAGTATGACTGGTTTGTCCATTCATTGTACATAACATGTTACCTCATAGAAGAATCAGAAGTGATTGTCATCTGTAACTTATAGATTGAATGACAGGATTCTGGTCAGTTATTACAAAAGTGCAACCCTTCAAGTCCCAAGTTACAGCCTGTTTAATTTTGAATACACTGCATGCTTCAAATCTACTTCATCTGCTGTGACATAAAAAGATGCTTTTTTGTTGTTTTAAAGTAGATTAAATAGTTTCTGCTGAAACACAATTTAGCTAGTTAAAAAAAAAATCAGTTGTCAAACTACATATTCTTTCCCTTCCCCTCCTATTCAGACAGGATCCTCTTGATCCCATTTATTCCAATTCCTACATACAGCAGACAGAAAACCAAGATCATCATCACAAGGAATCCACTCAACAGACTCAGAAGTTCTTCTGGTACTGTTCACAGTCCCTCTCTTCCTAACAGTCATTCCTATTCATGCTAATCAAAGAGTGTTGGACATACTGACAATGAGCCTTTAGCAGTCAAAAAAATTACAGTGGATCTGGCAATACTTTTTCCATCTAAATGAGCATTATAAGATGACATCAGTTGATATACAGTCAGTCTAATGTCCTACAAACCAAAGTCTGACAACACAAGGCTCTAAAGTTTACTTCATTAAACATTATACAGTTTTACGTACAGGGGGAAGAAAAGAGTAGCTATGCTAATTTCTAGAAATCCTATTTAAAGTTATAACCCAAAGATCTGCACTACAGTTAAATGACATTAGGCTGTTTCTTTCTCTTATCAACTACTACAGTTATACCCACCTGTTACATTCACTGCTGGCCCAGTCTGGTACTGTGGAACTCCCGAGTTCTGTCTCACACCAAACAGTATACCAGATGTATTATCTGGTGCAGCTGGTGGAGAATCCATAATATAATCCTAATAAGATATTTTCAAGAGGGAAAAGAAATTTGAGGTTTAACATTTTTTTTTACTTGCAGGCTTCAAAGGGTTTATTTTAAAAACATATGATTGCTTAAAAGTACTCATAAGTACTTTTATAAGTACTTTTTAGTCAGCAGTAAATCAAGTTAATTACAATCTCCCCAAAATAGTTTGACACTTTAATAAGTTTGCAACTCTTATCAGTGGTTGTTAATTTATTCACAGCTGTATATCAGAATAGCAAAAACAACCGTAAGACCTGGGAAAGTCCATTTTATGAAATATTACTAAACCTGTTTAACTTGCTAATTCTAACTGCTTTTGTTCAAAAGGCTGATGATGTTTCAAATTATACTTGAATTGTTTTTCGAATAACTCTACTTTCTTCCTTCAACCCAAACTCAGGCATTAATTTGCCTGTTACTCTCACTTAACAGCTAGCTGCATTTTAAAAGATCAGAAAACAGAACTCAAAAGTAGCACAAACTTGCAGCAAGCAGAAGCTTCTCAAAGCAAGATGATATTAAATTAATCAAATTTTACTAAATGGTCAAACTTCAATGAAAGTAAAAGTGTATTTACAGCACGTTGGCTGGGAATGGCACTCATTCATGGTATCACTAAGGTGTTTTTTTCTTTTAGGTAATTTCTTAAGGACTTCTGGAAATAATATAAATCAAACCCTCTTTTCAAAGCACAGCTAACCTAAAAGTTGGTTCGTGTTTCTCAGCACCTTGTTACATTAAGTTTTGAGCATCTCCAAGTACAGGTATCCTTTTACCCTTCAGTTTAAAATGTTTACCCTTTAGTACTACACAAAACCTAAAAAATTAAGTAGTCCATGTTTCTTGGCTCCGACACTGAAAACTGTACACCTGAAAACTAAACACCTTCAGTAATCACTCAATAGGTAACGCTTGGAGGGAAAAGAAACATGAAATTTAGTTGTCTTTACAGATATTCAAGGTTGGGGGGGGGTGAGGTAGGAGAAACATGCTTTCCAAGATTCATCAATACTGCTCACATCTTAATAGGCCATTCATCCTAACACAAACTATCCGGAACATTGAACGTTTTCAACAATAAGGAATTAAGAAAAAAAACTTATAATAGAGTTAGGTTTAGTTTCAACATTAAGGTATGAATGGCAAAATATTGACACTTGATCTTTCTACTCTGAAATAATTTAGTTGGTTACACTTCATCAAGATGTACTGTGAAACAAAAAAACTTGACAAATGTAGCTAAATTTTCCTTTAAAAAAAGATCACCCAATACACATACACAAACTTTGTCTACGCATAAGACAAAGGCCAAAATATTTTTTGCTGAAAAGATCAACCTCACAAAATGCATCCCATTCACAACTATGCTACTTATTTGAAAACATCCCTGTGGAAGTTACCGCATTTTTAAATACCACCAGGTTGACTAAACTTGATGGCAAGAAGCCTAGAGAAGTGCACAAGTACACATACAGGTATGATAATCTATTTTAGGGTGCCTCTTGACAAGTGACTTAATACAATCTAACCTAATTAAACATAAATGTTCAGAGTAGTTGTGGAAATAGCTATGAAATTTCTCAGTTCTATTTGTAATGAGTGATGGCTACATAAGCTGCAGTCACAACAGAGCAGGTGTTACCGTGACCACAATGGTTTCAGGCTAGCCAGTGAAGTTGCTAGCAAAGCAGCTTAGCCTGCAAACCCCACTTCGAGCACAACTAATGCTCAGGCGGTCAGCCTGTAGCAGGCTCTTAGTGGTGAGGACTATGCACACCACTTACATTTGAAATATGACCAATACAATAGCTACACAAAAAATCTGCTTCTCCTACTATTCCGTGATTTAAGTGCTACTAACATTTTAACTGTGTATATCTCCCTAGTATATACTAAACATATCTGGCAAGCCAAAAACTAAAAGCAGACTGGAAATTCAGTGTCTCATAATTTTCAAAATGTCCTTTTCTGTTTACAATTCTTTTCATGCAATTTGGCTGTCATTTTACATACAGAAAAACCCAATACCTTCCTATGCTTTAGAAAGCAAAAAGGTTTTAAAGAAAAAAACGAAAACAGCTTTACCATATCAATAAAAAAAAAATCTAACATGTACAGGTACTCTCACACACAGAAAGACAAAACCCAACACCTTTATAAATTAAGTTCCCAGTGCTCAAGTGAAGAAGAAAAATAATCCACCACAACTCTTAGTTTTCCAAGAGAACACTGAAAACGCTGGGCTCATACTGTGCATCCTAGATTTCCTAATTGGAAACCTACATGATAATTGGTAAGCAAATCCACACAGAGAAATTACAATGCGTTATATATTGGACCTTTCCTCTCCCAAAATTAACTAGGGACAACTGGAACCTGAATCACACTCAGACTGATGAAAATGCCTCTTAAGTAGGGGATACATATTGACAGAATTGGCTGGGGCTTATTGCAGAGCATTTTGAGTAATGAATTACAGAAAATCCTCACCGCCAAGAACAATTTTTTTCTTAAAAAAGAGGATAGTCCTATGCTATCACATACAACATCAGTAGCTCTGACAATTAGAATTGCTGTAAACAGTATGACTGAAGCCAAATGCAACTCAATTTCTGGAACTTCATTAATGCAGTGCAGTGACAAGAACATGAAAACTAGACTTTTACAGGAAGTTAGTGAATCAAGCCTGTGACTGGAAAGGGGCATTTCAATGATAAAACTGGAACACCAAACATTGACAACAAGTAAATTATAGACCTACATATTGTGGAATTGAGGAAGGTGTTTCAACCCAGCTGGTGATCAAAAGCAATCAGTTCTCACAGAAAATACTTCACATCCTGAGATTAAAAAATACTGCACGATATTAAGAAGGTAAAGGCACTCTGAAGGATGTTCAAGTAAAAAGGGGTCCTGTGCCACAGTGTCTAGTCATACCTCACAGTCATCTTCACATCATGGTATTTTAATTTCAAAGGCAAGTTTCAACATCTGGAAGCTGAAGACCCAAACATCAAACACTTTCCAGAAAAACTTATTTGAAGCCCTTGCCACTTAGGAAGAATCAAGTTGGGAAGAAACAGAAAATGTATGAACAAAAATGTCTCAGCCCAAGACAGCAAATTATCAATATAAAACAGTGCCCCCAAGTAAAATAAAGACTAGATAAAGGGAGAAAAAAAATTTAAAAACCTAAGGAGCTCTTGAATGAAGACAATTCAAACCAAGGACACGAACCAAAATACAGGTAGTATACATACGACACTAAGAACAGCAAAAGATATAATGTGGCAGGAGTGATATTAAAAATCACAGAACTTTGCCTAAGAAGCTGAACCTCCCTAAAAAAAAGCACACACTGAACAAGCCTCTTTTCCCATAAAAAGTATAACATAATCAAGTGGCAGGAACAATATAAAACCAAGAAAACATTATTCTACATAAGGCTGAAACTGGAAATACTATCCTGAATCTAGAAAAGTTATGCTGAAGAGATGTAAGTGTCACCTTCAGCATATCTTAAGCAAGGAAAAAAAAAAATCCCAGAAAAGTTTTCCTAAAGGTACTCAAGAATTTCTTAACTTCCAAAGAATAGGATGTTACATTTAGGATAACTTGAAAAAACTAAGCATAAAAGCCATGATCAAAATGTCACCACTGTAAAGAAACCATTTAGCATATGATAATTTCAACAGCGGAAATTTTAAGAGACCACAGAATATGTATGCAATGGGTATCCCAGAAAAGGATACATTACTTTCTAAAGCATATCAGTCTAACTCGGAATAGACAGAACTGACCAATACATGGTTAGAGATCCTTTTCCACGCTGCATACCTTAAAAGTCGTATTTCAGACTGCAACTTTTTCAAATAGGTGTTAATCTACTCTGCCAGGAAACAAAAACAACCTGCAGATTTCGGCAAAGACAGACTATAAAATTTAACTAAAGTCTCATCTGTGATGTTGCTGCTCAAAGTAAACTCAATGAATGAGAAATCAATATCTTGATGAGTTATGTTCGGTTTACATGTACCATTTGGAGAAGTTCAGCTTTCCTAGGTCTATTTAAGGCTCTCTTATAAAAACAATGTAGAGGCCACTACCAGTTTTATTATTAGAACAAACCCATGAGCACGTATGTGTGAAGGAAGTAAAGGAGAGGGGCTTGCTTTTGCAGTAAAGATTCTGCAAGACATTCTAGCACTCCTTTGATGGATTTAATAAAGCACACTATGTCGTAAGTAAACATTTATAAAGATAAAAATCACAGACTTGAAATACGTGTATACATCATGTCAAATAGCAATCCTTTCTGTATTAGTCCGTCCTGCTTTATGAAGAGATTTAAGAGGACTCCAGAGGTAACCTAGATATCCTATTGATATCCAGGCTTTTGATTATATCTTTTTTAGGCCTTCTTCGACAGTGACAGACTGATTTAGCTAACCCACTTCACTAGACAGATATACAATTTCTCTCTGCAAACTCTCAATCAACTGCTGAAGACTCAAAATTGGAAGAGTTCTTCACTAATTAATCTGCCAGATATTCAGCTACTCAGCTGACAGGCAATGATTACATTGCATTGTTTTTCTTAAAATACAACCCTCCATTGGCAATGATTTAGCCACAAGTCTTTAAGAATGCCACCTAATTCTCATGTTTTAATGGCCTTATTAACTATGTTCATTCAGACTGATTCCCCTGTTCAGCAAATGCAGAATACACTAGGCTGCATGATTTTTATTTATACCAAAAGACTGGCAGCTGGAACAACCACAGGTGTGTATATTTGCATTGATAGTGAAACTGGTGCCTACTGACAGGCTTCATTATAACCTGAGAGTAGCAGCTAATATTACAGGCACACTGTCTAAACAGTATCAGCTTAAATTATTTCCAATAAAGGTATCACATCATATTTTTCCTCATACCAATATGAAATTTTAATCTTCATTCTTCTCTGTCACAAATGTCCCATGGCTAAGGCAACAAATCCAGCATCTAACTTGACTCCCTAAAGTTATCATTCTGAGGTTCTGTGGCAATCTGGGAAGATCTATGACACATGATACATGATCTATGTGCATAATTCCCTCAGGCTTTGCAAACAAAACAAGTATGTTGCCGAATTGTTTTCTCTACTGACCATACTACTGTTTCACTACAACTGCGACATGAACCAAAAAGCAAAAACACCTAAGGAGCTATCACTACAGCATTCTCTTAAGCAGCAAAAATCCCAAGAAAGGCACTATAAAAATCAGGTGGGAAAACCACAAAATGAAACACCAAATGCAAGCTATTTAAAAGTGAAATTAATTTATCAATACAGAGGATCCGTCTCTGAGCAGAGAAATTGCAAAATTTAGAGAATGAGAATTTCCATCACTTCTCCACACAAAACCAAAATAACCTTAACAGTACTGGTCTCTCTTATGCCTAAGATTTTAATTTAATGTAATTCCACTGTTACTAAAGCTATCATCTTTGAGTCTTGCAGATCAGTATTTTCAAATATGTATTTTAATTCACCAGTGCAAGGTTATGATCCCAGAATTTTTATGTTTTTATAACGCTAGTCTATAATCCAGTCCAGGTCTTCAAATTACTCAATTGAGTCAGTATGTTCCTCATCGATTTATTCAAAAGTAATCGCACCTAAGTAGTTCACAGTTTAAGGGAATAAAAATTTACCTGATTGAGTATTACAGGCTGTGCTGTCACAGTAGTCACCGGCCTGGAGACAGGTTGAGCCACTACAGGAACCGTGGTATTTCTTGATACTGGCTGTGTTGTCACTGGAATGGTTACAGGTCTGTTAACAGGCTGCGATACTCCAGAACTTGACCCAGGCATCTGCTGTGTTGATAAACATCCAGCAACTGGTCTCTGCAGTGTTTGTGAAGTTCCTGAAACATTCACTGGTATAGACAATGGCTGAACTGCTACAGAGCTATTTGTAGGTCTGGATACAGACTGAAAGACTGATGAAACAGGCATGGCACTGGGGCTGGAGGCAGGTGTCACATAATGGCTGTCAGGCTTGAATGTAGTAACTGTACCTGTTGCAAAGGATTCCAAAGTTATCTTTATATAATTTTGCAGTCAGACGTTTCATAAGTGTTGTGGATTTTTTGTTTTTAATTACCATATTAGGACAATAAAGTACCTCTACTGGGTGCACCATTCTGTATCCCCCTTCGTGATGAGCTGAGGTTGACTCTGTTCAATATATCTGTCAAAAGTTACATTTATCTTAATTGCAGTTAAATTAATAGCTTAAATGCTTTTCAAATTAAAAGTAGCATTCATATCCACTAATTAAGCCAATTAATATTCTAAATTATAAGTAAAATCCTATTTCTAAAATAAATACCTGGCAAAACAAAGTGTCATTTGTACAAATTAAAATATATTCTTCTACTCTCCTTCTCTTAGGTTAAGGTAGTTCACCTAGGAATCTTAGTTTTTATTTTCTTGGGAGATAGATTAACACACAAAAAGAGTGCAAACAAAAAAGAACATTTCATAAGTATTTAGTTTTGCTGATTATAAAGCATTTATTCACTTCTGTTTCTCATCTACATAACAAGTTCCCCAAATACCAGAACTGCTCTACACTAAAAGAAGCATTTTCTCTAAACCAGTAACTACACAATTCGCTTCTGTATTACAGGAAAATACAGCACTTACAAACTTGCTTTTAGACTTCATGATCTTCATTTTCCAATGTGAAAGAAAAATGAACAGACCAGAAATCAAAGGAGTTGTGTTGGAATTTCATTACAAGAGGAGTGATTTTCTTACGTATTATACATGGTAGTCTAGGACCAGAGTTCTAGCTCATGAGAAACAAATGGAATTTCTTACATTTGATACTTACTCCCTAACTAATACCACCAATACTCCCCAACTTTTTGTGTCTTAGTCTGGGGTTTCTCATCATTCAAGGATGTTACAAATATATATTCAAATCAAAATATTTTTCTACTGCCAGATTCCCAATTTCATTAGCTTTCCTGCCAAGTTTCTTGCTCTGACATGTGAACACATGCAGATGAAATTAGATTGATCCTCCCATATCTAACCAATAAGATTTAGAGTACCTTCTCAAACCAGGGCCAAATTACATCAGGATATCAAACAACAGATCTCAGAGTATCTACACATTGTGTAGTTTCCACTAACAATGGTTCATTAGTATACATTACTCAGGTTGATAAATAAATTTAATAGTAGTAGAGCTCAGAAGATCACAGTTTTCAACCAGTCACCTGTATTTAGATCATACTAAAAAAAGCAGCTGCAACCACATCCAAACATGTTTGCATTTTTTAAGATATGATGAAACCTCATCCTGTGATAGTAATACTATTTTTACTTCAACACAATGCTAACTATGAGCAAGGATTAATTTAATTCAGGATTTAGCTGAACACATACATTTTGTGTTTGTTAATAAATCTATACCTCTCATTTGAATTCCAGAGTGAAATGAAACTGAAGCCTTCATCTACTTACTAAAAAAAGCTATCCTAATTTATGTCTCACAAAGCATATTCAGTTTCAGACAGTCTGATGCGCACACAATTCACACCCTAAAACACAAAGGTAGATTTTACTGTTTTTAAAAAGAACATTTCAGGAAGCCAGTGATTGAAATTATAAACTAGATTTATATGACTCAACCGATTCATCACAGACTTGACGTGCCCTTTCCCCATCAAAGCATTATGGTCTTGTTTATGTAAAACAACACCAAAGTATAAGAAAGTTAATGTGAAGAACAACCTTTTAAAGTAGCAACAAAATACAGGTTTGTATCGTTATGAAAAAAGAAGCAAGAAAAATAAGCAGTAACTGTAGGAAAAATTAGTTGCAGGAAATGGTAAAGGGAACTAAGTGTCAAACTAATCCTCCGGTACATCAGAAGAGGCACTTTATTGTACAAGACACTGCCAGCAAGTCAAAGTTGGGTGTTTAACTATTTCCTTCAAGTTTTCCACACCAGCCTGTATAAAAAACTGATAACGGCGCTGTCAGGAAAAGGTTAAAAAAACCTGCTATGCATTGCAGAAAATATACCTTTCAGAAAAATTAAGAACTGCATGCGAATCTTCATTTGTTATCTAACTTCTCATCTGGTCAGACAGGAATTTTCTCAGGTAAAAACAACAGTGATAAGCTAAGTTGAATTCACTGTGTCTTGCCTATCACCAATAACAAACTGAAGCCTGACTACTGCCAGGTAGTACTACTTACAAGCCAGAGAAGAACTGAGGTCATTCTTCCATAGCTGTTTTTGATAGTGAAGTAGAAGATTACAAAGACAAAAGTTGGGGAAAGGGAAGGAAAAGAGATAAAGTAAAAAAAGTTATACCATAGGTGATTTTACTTGTGTCAGGACTGAGTATGGACAGCACTAGAATAAGATGCATACATTGTAAGCCTCTATCTTTTACCAAAGTTCTTGAAGTTGCCAAATCATATCAAAATTATATTTTTCATCTGAACTATTTCTATCCTTTATGACTACAAAAAAAAAATCTGGAGACTACAACAACTGCAATGAAATTTGGCATGTTTGTTGTTCCAACGTATGCCTAGTGCCTTAATAGCTGTTCTATGCCATGACTTACTGCCAATGACCAACAGCAATCCAGAGGTCTCTGGACCTTCCAGAAAGCAGTAAGGGTAATTTTCAGTCCTTCTAGAAGTTCGTAACTGCAAAAAACTTCTTAGAGTAATTGTAAAATATTCTTCAAATTTTCAAGAGGATCTAGAATATTTTTAAAATATTCAAAAATATTAACCCTTAAGAACTATCTTCAGGTGATAATTTTGACATCATCTTCAGTACTTAATATTTAAAACATAATTTTCCACTTTAAGTTAGTATAAGAAGCATTAGAATTACTATCCCAGTGAGTAACAAAGTTAAGTAGAGTTCAAATACAAGATGAAAGTATTGTGAACTAAAATGACTGCACAGCTAATAATAACTCCAAAGTCCATGCAGCAGAGAATGACAGAGAACCTAGTTTAACATTTTATCTGGAGATTCTTCACTGCAAATGATATACCTTCAGAAAATGACTATGGAAATCTGAGATACAAGTGTAGCATAGCTGTGGCAGACACAAAGCAGTAAACAGCACCAGGCAGTCTTGTGTATTCAATAGCTTAGAGAAACTTTAAGTCAAACTTCTTAACAATTGACTACAAGATGGCTGCATACCAAAATCAAAAAGTTTAATTACTAGAATTAATTTAAGTAACAAAAATAACGTTCTCCTTTACTTACCTGCCAAAGCTCAAGCATAGGATAAACATGGAATCCTGACACATCTGCTGTCATCATAACCACCTAACCTCACTCCCTGCACTGCCTGCATTAGGAGAAAACTACAGAACTTGATGAAAAAAAACCCCAAAACTATTTTACAGGGGATAAATGAATTTATTAATAAAAATCTGTTACTTAGGAGAAACGCTTCCACTATTTTCACATTAATCACTTTTCTTGATTGTGCTTTTATTACAGACACTTAGGACAATAACCTTGGTTTTGTCAGAATATCCATTCATTCAGACTGTCCACCAGCACATGAGATGTGGGGTGGAGAAAAAAAGAGGGACTGTAACATGAAGACTGAAATTCATGCACATTACTAGGGAGACACTTCTAAGTATCTAAATATCAGCTATATTAAGAGCAATTGCATGCATGGTTTCAGCATTGTATATATTGGATTTTTAATCATATTGTTAATGCTAAGACCTTCCAACATCCTTGTTTTGACTTCAGAGATGTAAGGTTAGAGGTAGACAGAGATGTGCATAACCTGGGGTTTAGGACAGAATTTCTTGAGAATTCAAATTTTCAGTATGACAGCAAACTACAGAACAGCTTTAAGATGCAGAATTTCTTAAGTCTTACTGTTAAAAATTCTGTATTTTCAAAGTAAGTTTGAAGTTTACACCTTGAAGTATCTGCTGTAAACTATGGAAAATGTTATCTTACATGTGCTAGCTGGCTTCGAGCTTGAGATTTCCCCAACAAAGATTGGCTCATCATCATCATCATCATCCTCTTCCACCTCTTTCACTCTCTTTTGCCATGGTTCTAGCTCCTCTTCTTCACATTCCATAAATAATTCTGCCATCTTGAGACTAGACAGTAAAAAAACCAAAACACACATACCAAAACATTCAGTATTTTCATGAAAAAAATGTTTCACTATCCAGAAGAGATTACTCCACTTGATAATTCCCGTACAACACTCTTCCTTTCCCCCCTGCCATGTACTGCATAGGTTGAACCAGATCCAATATAAAAGATCTTCAAAGATCGACACCACATCACTTCTCTGATAATTTGAATTCTCACCTTTGCTATTAAAGATGAAAAAAGTCCAAAGATATCCTCCACCAAATTTACACTATTTTTGTATAATCCACCAGTAACTATCAGAGGAAGCCTCTGACACCACAGTGAAAGATACCTGGAATGGGAGTGCTTTTTTAAAAGATAAGTGATTCACAAGAAATGTGAAGACTCTACCATGAAGCATGTAATATACCCGGCACAAACGAGTTACTGAAACATTAGTTAGAGCTTTATTCTCTTTGAATCTGAAAAAACTCAATGCAAACCAACCAAAACTCCAATCAAAACCACAACCTCACAAATTTTCTAAGACTTTGCCAGGGCTTCCAATATAGTCACATTTTCATTAAAACCCAACAGAACCAAAACAAAATTCCCCCAAACCCACACAACAAAACACCAAACAAACCACCCACAAAAAAAAGCTCAAACAAAAACACACACAACAACAAAACCCAAAACCATATCCACAATGCATTGCATAGTGTTTTCATTATCAATTATGACTTCATAAAAATTTTGCATAGATCTCATTAGACTGAGTCCCTCGTGCTTCAAGACTTGCCCTTGTAGTAAGGAAAAAAAGTCATGTTGGAAAATAGTGATGACAATATGTAGCTTTTGGAATCAACCAAATTAACATCAGCATGTCTAATCACAATTGGTTTTATTTGTTTTTTAAATAAATGGTGATGGCAAATGAAGTTTTCCTCTCTCTTTTCACATCCTCTAACATAATCTTTAAAGTATTTCTGGAAAAGAGAAACTTTTATATTTCTTTACAAATCAGATTATTGATAAAGTGTGTAACAAGACCAGTAATTTGATAAAACCACAACGCTATCTCAGCAATAACCAGGATCAGGATCCCAATACAACAGTATTTGCTTTGTCTAAGACACAGAGCTTCACAAAATTCAATGTCTGCATTTTTTGGTAAATCAAAGGGAAAACAATACAGTTTTGTATTGAGGAACCCAATAGTAACTCCAGCCAACACAGTAATTCCTTGAAATTAATGAGCAGTTAAGCACATGAAATTCAATTGGACTGCTTTGACAAAAAGTGAAGAATATCTAAGCAAGAGTTCCTTTCATGAAGGCCTCAGACTATTGCTAGTCTTATTACCAGGCCATTCCCAACAAAACCCACTACCACACTTCTCATTCTTGAGCTGATACAACACTTACCTGACAAGGAAAGCTAGTTAAGGAAGCTTGACTTCCCACCGTTAAACTGTCAGAGAACTATCACTGCATAACTCCCTAAAGCTAATAGCCAGGGCATCAGACCAGCACTAAAGTATGTGATTATGTCATTAAAGACTATCAAACCTTATACTCAAGGTCACAGAATCAAGATTACATTCATAAGGACAGAATAATAAACTGGTATTTCTTAAACTGAATGATTTATCTTGTAAAATGAACAGTGTTGATACACATTTTTCTGTAGTTTCCCATGATTTTCTCCCTTCCAAAAATATTTCATGAGCAACATATATATTAAATATTAGATCGACCTTCTTTTTTGAAAGTATATTTATGCAAAACTAAGAATACTCCTCATTATCCATCAACAGTGTTCGAAATGGAAGTCTTCGGCACAGACACAGTAAGAAACTGTCTAATATCTAATAAGAGAAGACAATTTCAGGATAGAGGTAATGAGTTGCTCAATTTGGTGATGGGCTGTAGAAATAATTAGTCTGTAATAGCTTACCACAGAGGACCAGACAGAATCATGCCTCTACTTTCATTAAAGTACATGAAAATATTTCCCAGTGGAGATACAGACATGAGTATAAGGTAAACCTATTGACAACAGTGTTTATTTTCCTCATTTTTTTTAAATGTATAAAAATATCTACACATTCATACACACATCTCCTTAAATGTAGTCCATGCATCTGAGAGGTCTAGAACTCCAATGAAATGCTATATGTATCAACGAAAGCGTTTAAGTCATTGTTCTAGGCTAAAAAGCGTCACAGATAGTCAGCAACCTGCAAAGACACAAGTCCATGGAACACTATTATAGTTACTAGACAAGCAATGAACTAAAAACCCGATTTTAGTTTTTTTAGGAAAAAAAATTAAATTATTGCACAAAAGAGCAATAAGCTTCTGATGAAATAAGTGTTTTAAAACCACTGGTTTGGACATTCTATTTATCATGGCAATTATGTTTAAAGATACCTAACTTTATTAAAAGTGAGTTGTATTTATAACCTGTTTTTCTACTGTTAGGATTTAAAAGCAGTCACATAGAAACAAGAAAAATTATACAAACATTAGTAACAGCTGTAGTGAAAACAGCAGAATGCAATCTACAGAAGTACACCTTTAGATTTAGAGTTACTGAAGAGCCATTTTATTACTTTAGATGCAATTCACCTGTTCCACTCTTAAGGTCAAGTGTGCTTTCCAATACTCAATATTGGCTTAAAATAACTGAAACAAAATCACTAGTGTGAAGGTGGTAGTGAGCTTGAAGAGTGCGAACATCTACATTAACCAGAAAGTTCTCAGACTAGCCTTCTTTGTCATCTTTCCATAACAGTATTATCAGTGAATTATTTAAACATTATTTTTCCCTCCAGTTTAATAGCTGCACTTCAAACTAACAGGGAAGTTATATTATTTACAACACAGACCCTACCGTGAGCACCCACATTGTATTTTTCAGATGACTTCCCATACAGACACATAACTTTGTATCATGTTAGTTGCAGAAGAGTGTGCCATCCACAGCTTCATCAGGACTGTGAGCAACCGTATTTTTATTGAGTGCTGCAATTGCTTCAGCAGCAAAGAAATGATGACCAAGCTGAAACTGAACCTGAAAGTTTTAAAAAGCCAAAGTATAAACCAACATCCCTCGAAACTAAACTAAACCAGCCAACACTACCCTCTCTACCATGAGACAGTATAAGCTCCGCCTAGGAAAGGGCAATATTGTCCTTACAAACCAGTTAGAAGTTCACACCCTCGAGGTGCGATGGGTGCGAGGGCGGGAGGAAGCCAAGTCCCCGAG